TTTTAAAACAATTCAATTTATATACTTATTTTTAGGTTTTTTGTTTTGTTTGTTTGTTTTTTGCCATAGGTGCATACACTCACCAGAGAGAGACAGAAAGAGAAAATGATAAATCCTCCCCCTGGGAGGCGAGGGGGAATGGCCAAACTGCAATCCTTTCTTTTCCATTCTCCTCTTGGGATTTGGGGCATGCACATACACATGTCCAGCATGAGTTTCAAAAGCTGCAGGGTCCTGGACTTGAACCACAGTCTACCATATGGGAGTCCAGTGCCTTAACCCACCATGCCACCTGCTGGCCCCAAGTTGCAATTTTACATGGGTCAAGAAAGACCTACTGAGGTGACACTGAGTAAAATCCAGGTGAAAAAGTATATCAGACATTGTCACTGCTCCACTCAGATCTCTCCTTTCTCTTTCACCATCTCACCCCTTTCCCACTACAGCGTGCTTTGTTCCTAACATCCAGGACTTGCAGCTTTTCTTTCTTTTGGAGAGGTTTCTGCTATAGTGTGTGCTCACCAGAAAGACAGAGAGAGACAGAGACAGAAAGTGAGAAATCACCCCCCCATGGGGGAGGGCCATGCCACAACCCCTTCTCCTCCATTCTCCTCTCAGGATCTTGGGCATGCATGCACACACACACACACCCAGCATGAGTTTAAGCCACCAAGTCCAGGACTCGAACTGTGGGACTCCAGCAACATAGCCATTATGCCTTCTGCTGGTCCCAACTTACAGCTTTTCTTGTGAGGACTGCCCTAATAAGAAACAACCGCCATCTTCCCAGCACTGCACCTGCCCAATCCCCCCACCACACCCCAGAAGCAGGGAAGAAACAAGACTGGAGCTGCTAGCCAAAGCCAGAGAAAAAAGGAAGTAGGGGGCAGGAGGGCTGGTAGGTGGTGTGGTGGTGAAGGGTGCTGGACTTCCACTTGACTGACAGCAGTTCAAGTCCAGAACCTGGTGGCTTGCTTGCTCACTCTCTCTCTCTCACTCTGTCGCTCTCTGGTCAAATTAAATAAAATTAAATAAAATTATTTTTTAAAAACCAAAGGAACTGGGATCCCTCCTGAGGCCAGTGTGTCTCATATTAATCGTTATATGACTCTAATGTTCCCATTATTTTAAAGGCAATTTCGTGTACACTGTCTCAAACACCATTCAAGTTGCCTGGTAACCTCTTCCTTGCTCTCTTTCACTATTTCCCTTCCATGTGTACTTCAATTTCATTCATCTCTATTCATGAATATAAAAATATTGAACAGAATAGCACTTGTACTTGGCTTGGCAGACTTCTAGAGATGCCCCAGTCCCTGCTGGGATACTCAAGATGGCCTAAGGGAAGCCCAAGAATTCAACCAGTCTCTAAAGGACAATACTGTTTGTAAGTGATTATGGGTCTGGGATCTCACCTGTTCGTTCTCCCTCCACAGTGGCCTACATCAGTCAGGTGTTTATGAAGCCGAGGAAGAGGCTGCTCACTGCACTGGCAAACCAATGTTCCCGTGATCTAATGGAGAAGCCTGGAGTACACCAGAAGGCTGCCTCAACATTTACTGAGCATCTAATGAGAAATAATGATTGACTGGTTAAAAGAATAATTGGAATAATAATAATAATGATCGGGAAAAACAATGAAAAGATACTGAATGATGAAGTGGGGAGATTAATGTCTCTGTATTGACTGACAGGCATGGCATTCCCTTTTGAAAAAGCAATGTAATACACTGTAAAGTTATATGTGATTCAGTGTAATGTAAACAAGATTATGATGATAATAAATAAATTTTTAAAACAAAAACATTTACTGAGCATCTAATAATGGGTCTGGGTCAAGCCTTTGGCACGCACTGGCAATGAAATGACCAAAGCAGAACCTCTAATGCACTGAGAGTGGCAAACAGTAGAATAAAGGGGGTCAGGCACAATACCCCAGTAAAGTTACAATCTGGGAGCCATGGAAAAAAGAGGAAAAGTTATTAGGGGAGAAATTTCAGGAGGGCGTCACAAAGAGACATTAGAGCTGGATCCGGAAGGACAAGTGACTTGAAGCTCAAAGTGGCAGCGGGAATCGGACCAGTCAAGCTGTGCTGGGGCAGAGAAGGGCACACCGCCTGGTGCGAGGGAGCTGACAGATCCGGGTCTTAGCCCAGTGACCAGTGGCAGTCACACCCGAAAGGCGCTTGGGAAAACCGCAGACGCCGTGCTGCTTCTCACCCAGGCTACCACCTGGCCGCTGAGGCAGGCAGCCCTGCGAGGCGCGGGTGAGATCGCACACGCCGGGGAGCGGGTGCTGGGCGCTGGGCGCCTCCGCCCTCGGCTGGCTAAGGACGCTCGCCCCCTCGCGCACCGGCCAGGGGCGGGGTGGGCCC